ATAGTAACCTGGTAGCCAATACACGCAAATACAAGATTTGCAACAATATGAGCAGGAGGCTGTCCAATCATTTTTTTTGTTTTCTTAATTAACATTTATTAGCAAGCCACGCCATCACTTCACTAGTCATACAAGAGAGGGTAAATTAAATAAATAAATAAATAAATAAAATCTATGGAAGTCTTTTAAGACTCTTTCTCTTTCTTGATGAGCTGCCTTCAGCTAAATAATTGACAGTTGACAATACTTGTGATTGACAGTAGCAGAGGATCTGCTACAGAAGCCACCATGGTTCATGTGTGAAAAACTGGAGTCACAACTATGGCCAGGTTTTTCATATGTTTCATACGTCTGCTCCTTTTTTTTTTTTTATAGCTATTTTTGCTTTGCTGGGTTCACATGCAGACTTAAGTCCACCTTGAGTCCTGCTTTAACGGTTCCTCCTTTAAATGCCATAAAAAAAAAAAAAAACCTTTTAAGCAATATGAAAATGATAATAGCTCTAAAGGCACGGCTATAGAAATTGGTTTATTTGATTGGTGTATTGATCTTAACTGATGCGTAATGACACTTTATTATTATTATTCTTTAATTTCTGAGCAATTAAAGAACATGCATATGAGCAATTTAACCTGCATGGAGATTGATGCTTTTACAAATCATCCTTAAAATGTGTGATTTCCAAAGAGATAAAACACTAATAATGTACATATGATGATTATGTATACAAATGCGGATAGGAAAAATGGCACGATTTACTGAGCCTCAGCTCTTATTGGCTTTTTTCTGCAAAAGAATTTTTCACAAATATGAATGCAGAGCATGACCGCTAATCCCTGATTAGTCTGGAGACTGCCTCAGACTGCCTGTTTGTTTGCTTGATTAGAATCCTGTCTATGTTGGTGGATATAATATGAATGAGGTGAATTTTCTCTGCGTGCACGCACTTGCTTTCTCCACAGGAAAGTGAGTTCAGATCTGTGGAGCCCGTCCATGTCGCTAGCATTCAGGAGAGAGCTGAAGTGCTAGCTGCTAAGTTTACAGGGCAGTCCAGCAAGCCTGATAAACCCCAGGTAGAGCAATACAATGATGGATTGACAAATAAATTTTCCACATTTTAGTTCTGCATGGTCTAGACTGGTTTTTGATTAGTGTGAAAGACTCTTCAGCATCTTTGACACAAACTAACCATAGCTGTGTTTGTCCACGCCCCGTCCGTCACGACCAATCAAATTCAAACCTGACTTAAGCAGGACAAAATCCTCATCAAACCCAAGTAACCATAACCGGCGACTGAATAAAACCTGACATTTCTAATAGCCTGACATTTTATGGTGAAAAGTACAGCTGTCATCAAGTCATCTGTAAACGAAATTCATTAAACTCCTGTAGGTCCCTGTAAATCCACCTAGTTCACCATGTCCGATGCTTCCCAAACATCCAATTTTCAATTTATTCGATCTCAGTATTTTCTTGTTTAAATGACACAAGTTCTTTGCCTCATTTGCATCCATTGTAGCACATGTGTTGTGATGTGGAATGCAGTGCTAGCAGTGTTAAGTCAGTCTAGCTCGTTTAAAGTAATGAGGAAATCCAGGTTAAAATCTGAAGTGGGAATGCCTGAACAGCAAGGTCACCATGGAAAAAAGGTTCTTGGAATAGTTAAGGTCTCTTCACTTCCTCTACGCTAATAGGGTAAACCTCAGTTGCAGGTTTCTACACAGAACCGTTAAGGGTAGTTCTGAAGTCAAAGAGTTCTAGAGTTGACCTTCTTGTTCTCTAAATGTTTATGAGAAGCCACAACCTGATCGTTTTAAACCCTAGCCATATATATATTTGAGAAATCATATCCGATTGCGTCCAAGTTATCGCAAGTTCTACTCCAAAGCACCAACAGCATTCTGCTTTCTGCTGTCAGCTCTAATTTTTCCCTTCTGTCTCTCTCCTTTTTCTTTGTTCTCCTCTTCCACTGGAGCCAATGAAAAAGCCGTCACGCTTCTTTCTTCAGCAGTGGCTTTTGAGCCATGGTTTACACCCTGGACAGCCATCCTGCTCCCCTGATCCTCAGCAGGAGGTACAGCATGGCTGCTGTGCATGAGCCCCGTGTCTGTCGTTCTGCTGTAACCTAACAGTGGCTTTGGATTTCTTTAGCTCAGCTTGCTGCAAAGCTAATTTACAGCCCACAGTTTACAGTTTTTGTTCATGTGGTGACCACAGCGTGCTTCTGTTCTACAGGAGACACAGAGTTTGCGATTGCACTCTGATGATCAAGTGCCTATACACATCCCTAGCATCCAGGAGCGAGCCGAGAGGTTAGCCTCTCTGTTCAAAGACAAGCCTGCTAGACCCAAGGTGACCTCTCCATGCTGTGTTTCAAACGCCACTCAGTGATTCACCTGTTAAAATCACTAGATGAACTATCTGTAGAGCCACACTGTAACAACCTGCAAACTGAAGAAGCATGCAGTGAATTATAGAACAGGCTCTTTTTTTCCCTACCTACCTGCTTGACTTATGTTCTCCACTTTTCCCATGTTCCACTGTTATCTAACGCTTCTCCCCTCCCTCCCTCTCTCTCTCTCTCTCTCTCTCTCTCTCTCTATCTCTCTCTGTCCTGTGGAGCCTAAGAAAAAGCCCTCGCGCTTTCTTATCGAGCAGTGGCACAGAAAGCGGGAGATGTCCACTGATCTTCAGCTCACTTCACTCTCCTTGAACCGACAGGTAGCCTGCTGCTCGAGTGGCTGTGGGTTTCTGTCATTAACTCACTCCCACACACACTTTCACAGGAGAATCGGCTTGTGCACTGCTTTATTTACTGACCGCATTGTGAGATTCGGGAATCTACTAGACTAACTTGCATATAGAATATAGCAATCAGTGTTGGTGTGTGCTAAATTATCCTGCACTCTGGAAAACAACCTTGAAGCCTGCTTTGGTAGCTGAGAGTGACCAGATCTACTGGTCTGATGATTTTTATGTGTTAAAGTTTACCACAGACAAGAACTTTAAGAGTTGGCATGTTTTTTTTTTTTTTGCACAGTGTGCCTCATCTCATCTACACACCTGATCAACCAACCACACTTCCTTTTATTCATTCATAACACCTGTATTGCCTTAAGGAGTTGAAATCGCACAGCCCACTTTCTGCTCTTTCACCTTTTCTTTTCCGTGTTCATTTTTGTTCTTTTTCACTTTCTCTCTAACATGTATTCCATTATAGCATTATGTAAAGATGTATACAGGCGGCGTGAGCTTGTTGGCTGAGCAAATAGCCAATCAGCTTCAGCCTCAGGAGGACTGCCGGAGCCGTCTTGATAAGAGGGAATTGGTAAGAATTCTGGGTGGTGTTCTGAGTCGTATAGCACATGTGAACACACCCGGCTTGGAAAAATAGGGATTGTGATTGACTTTGTCCTGTAACATGAATTTCCCCTGTACTAACTGTGCTCTTTCTGCAGTTATGGTGACACGTTCAGAAATCTCACTTTTCGCTTATTATTTTACTTTCTTCTTTCTTCTTTTTTTTTTTAACCGTTTCCCAATATTTTATAATTAAATACCTAATCTCAGACTGTTCTCCTCCAATTCTGTCAGCTTATTCTGTTTAATGTTCACTGCTGAGCTGGAGCACTGATCTGCTATCAACTTCACCATAGATATATGACTGTAATATGTGTGTATGTGTTTCCTGCAGGGTTCCTTGCGGAAGGAGTTTCCGCAAAACATTGGAGGCAGCGATGTGTGTTTCTTCTGCCGGAAGCGTGTGTATGTGATGGAGCGACTGAGTGCGGAGGGCAAGTTCTTTCACCGCAGCTGCTTTAAGTGTGACTATTGCGGCACCACACTGAGACTGTCGTCCTACGCCTTTGATGTGGAGGATGGTACGTCATCGTGACTTATACAATATAGATTCCTATGCAGACATCACATGTCTAGTACGCATAGTCCTGTACAAACCTCTGTGTGTGTGTCCAGTGAGGTTAGTTAGTTCCTGTAATCAATTACCTTACAGCAGCTATAAATAGTCTTTCCTTCGGCTCCTGAGTGGCACAACAGAATCGTTCACTCTATCGTCTGGAGAGTGTGAGTTTGAATCCCGACGAAGCCACAGCTACCCATGGACGGGTGTCCAAGAGAGCAAAATTTTCTGGCTCACTGAATGGGAAGGGTGGCATTACTGTCTTTCTCCTATCAATCACAGCAATACTAGCCAATCGTAGCAGTCTGTGAGCTCACATATGCAGAAGGGGGACAGATAGCACTTTCCTCCAAGCGTGTTACGCTGTGTTATAGTGTAGTTGGTGGCTTCATGTGCTTCCTCCAAGCCTTCACCCTTCCCAGTTGGTAGCTGTTGTATGATAGCGGAGACCTATGTGGTGAGTTGGATTTAAATTGGGGAGAAAATTCCCTCACCAAAAAATGCCGCTTGTCATGCTATAGAAACCGTAAAAGTGTAATATCCTCTGTCCTGAAGCCTCTCCCGTGATGGAAATCTTGTTATAAAGATTTGAGACTTGTCATAGAATTTTCCCTATTCCTCAAATAAAGTGCAGCAGACAATCTTATAGATCAGAGAGAAGTTTGTTCCTCCCCTGCAGGAAGAGCACACTTCGGCAATGCAGCCGTAGTGAGCCCCCGATCAGCAGAGATTTATCTCTTTTTATAGTGAGGTGAGAACAATAGAACAATTTCTTATAGATTACAAATGAATGAATTTATGTGAATTTATGAATTTATGTGAAAATAAAGCATACATGAGATTCTGCATCTCCTTATTAGGTAATTAAAGCTTCAGAAGGTTGTTCCTATAACAAAAGCAGCTAATATGAACAGGAACACTCACTGATAGAATAATCAGATAAACACAGTGACTACAGAGATAAAACATAATAGCACAATTCCCCAGTAACACTGGAAACTCTTTCCATAAACGTTAAGTAAACATTTTCTTTAAAATTAAACGTGGTTTTTAATCCTTTTATTATTGGACATAGATTGGGTCCCTGGAGGAATAGTGGTTAGGCCTTGGGACTCTCACTGCCGTGGCCCAGGTTCGATTCCCAGCCAGGGAAGACGACAGTGCACTCCCAGTGCCAGTCTCAAGCCTGGGTAAAATTGGGGAGGGTTGTGTCAGGAAGGGTATCCGGCATTAAAAACTGTGCCAAATCGAATATCTGTGATATTTGATCTGCTATGGCGACCCCTAACAGGAGCAGCCGAAAAAAGAAGAGCACAACATAATTAGGCGTAGATTAATAGCCATAGATACGTGAGAGTTGAACTGAACTAATGACTATTGAAGTGTAGAAAATTCAAAATGGATGGCATCAGAGAATGTGGGGGAAAAAGGGCTGCTTTTAAAGGGTCTGTTTGTGATTTTTAAAGCTTTTTGTTGCCTATGAGACAAATTGCACATGCAACAACATCATTCTCTACAACCACTCTGCTGAAAGTATGTATGGCTTATGAGCTGACTTTAAAGGAAAAACAACAGGGCTGTGCAGCTGTGTTGTGGCTGTGGGCGGAGCTACTTTCTGGGCTCAAAAAAAAACCAGGCCTGAAATGAGTAACCTATTTATGTCCACTGCATGTCCACAGATTTTCTGAGGTATCATATAAAAATAAATATTATAGGGCTTGAAATACGTTTAAACATTGCAGACTGCATCTTTAAGGATGCTTATGGAGTCTTATGCAAAGATATTATGCACTTTCAATTTTAAATGAAAGCTGCCATTGAAACTGTTAGAATGCTGTCCATGTGTGATTGGAGATCATCGTCTATACCATTATCGGGCTCCCAGTTATTCGTTCTCTCCAGTTACTCATTCTGTTCACTTTTTCACTATGTGGCATCATAAGATTTGCTTTGTCTTCGAACACAATGGTGTATTGTTGCCTTGGACAGAGTGCTGATTTTTCTGCATTGACTCCTCCTTCAGAACACACTGTTTAGAGACTTCCCACTTGGCATAGAGCGTGAGGAGCAAATACACCAGCAAATAGACTATATCAAAACTGTATAAGACATTGCACTACAGAAGGAAGTATAGAGTGCTGTCTTTGGGAACTTTGCTTAAAATGCTATACATGCACTGAATCTCTCTCTCTCTCTCTCTTTCTCTCTCTCTGTGTGTGTGTGTGTGTGTGTGTGTGTGTGTGTGTTGTAGGGAAGTTTTACTGTAAGCCACATTACTGTTACCGGTTGTCTGGGCAGGCTCAGAGGAAGAGGCCTGCTGCTCCTCTCCAGCCGAAGGTAAAGATCGATGCCATTGTAATGTTTTGTTTACACGCATATGAATGCATTATAATTTATTACTGAGTTGTTTTTGTTTTTTGTTTTTTTTTACATGGATAATTTTTCTGAGCTGGCTGATATTTTGATATTTGAGTCATATTTGTTAACACACCACAAAAGTAATTTTTCCCATTTTTCATTACACTTTCTCACTGGGCGAGTGCTGCGTCCAAGTTCGGCTTATGATCTCATGCGGCAAGCTCAACAGCTTGAATCTGTCACATTCGATATACAAATGATTAGAGGATGACAGTGAGGTAACTGGAAACCTTTAGCTGCAGAGCTTGCGAGCTAGCCAGCTATCTTGGCTTGGGTTTGATGCTAAATAACGTGGTTTTGACATGATTGGATACAGTGAAATAAATTGCTGAGAATGACTATATAAATCAAGACTCTGATACTGCAACGCCACGTGTTTACTTACGACAACTGTTAGCAGGTTTACTAGCAATTGAGTTATTAGGGATGGCAGGAGAACCGATTATGTGTCCAGACCAATTTCAGTTTCAATTTGAGAAGTTCCAGGAGTGGAACAGAACTAATGAATAATAATGTTTGACTTCAGTTCATTTAATCACACGCAACGTTTTAACAGTATGCAAATGAGAGAAGCAGCTGCATTGCATTTAACCAAGCATGCAATGGCTTCATGATTTATTTCATGAATGGGACACCAGTACATCAAAGGGCACTGTGCATACACTCATTCACACCTAGGGGCAATTTAGAGTAGTCAAGTCACCCACTGGCATATTTTTGGGAGCACGGCAGAAACCAGAACCTGGAGGAAACTTACACGCACAGAGCAACCCGAATTCAGGATCGAGCCAGGGACATGGAGCTGTGAGGAAGCAATGTTGCCCGCTGTGCCACCCTGTCATGTGAATTTCACATTAAAATGGTCAGGAGTAGAATTCTGTGTGTCCTTACCATGTCAAAGCTTTCCATGAATGAATAGGTATATAGTCAATTGAATGAATAAGTATATAGTCATTTTCATGTTATTTTTCTCTCTGTTCCCTCAGGAATCCCAGGCACCAGTGATACCTGCAGCCAGCGTGGATGCCCCAGGGGCTCCATGTCCGGTGGAGCGTGGGCCCTCAGGTATCCGCCTTTCCTCTCTTGCTGCTGTCCTGCGCCGCTTTCCCAGGGTGGGGGGCTCCATGCGCTCACTGCGCCGCACCATGTCCTGGACTGGCCATCAGATGGCACACTGTCCCTTCGCCTTCCTCTTCACTTACTGCCTCTACTTGTTCTCCTGCCTCACTCTCAACCTGCTGCTCAATATTTTCTAGCATGCACCCTTCTTTACCTTTATCCCCAAGCCTCTGGATGAGCTGCAAAACACTACGCTACAGAAGCCATATCTTATTTCAGTGTGTGTATTCTCAAGATGCAGCTTTTGTTTTTTTGTTTGTTTTAAATTAAATTTTGTTTAATCCAGCGACACGTGCGTGCGCATGTGTGTTGTTTAGAATGATAATACCATGCAGGATAACTGAACTTATTTGACTCAAGTTACTAAACTGTACTGTTGCTTGTCGCTAGGATTTCTCCACCACGGTACGTCTTTGGTACCTTTAGTATGTATTAGACCATACCTGGACGACTAATTATAATGGTCCATTAATTTTTTTTAAAATTCATAATATATTTTAAAGTTACATTCACATTTTCAGGTGAATGATTCATATTGAAAGTACAGTTCAGTAGCAACTAGTGTTTTTAAATTAAGGATATATAGCACAAGAATGATCACATTAGAATAGTAAAATGAGTGAAAACGGTCTGTTATGGCCTTTGACTAGCATTATTTTTGCATGCACAGTCTCTTTATGCAGTTCAAATATGCAGCAGTTATTTTATATAAGTATTAATTAGTTGTTGCCTGTTTTAGACCTTTCTGTTGCTGAAACATTTCTTCTTCAGACATCTTTCTCTATAGTGCCTGCCTGACTAGTGCCTGTGGTTCTGTACCTGTAACTGTTACTGAAGCTGTGTGAAGTAGTGCTTGTATTGGTGGGTGTGACTGAATCACTCTGTAAGCTTTACCTTTCCCCAGTCCTATCAGAGCAGCTGATTGTCGAGCTAGAGCCTGCATCTGTGCGTGCTTCTCACCTGTAACCACAGCTTTGTCATGCTTTTTTGTCGTCTTCTTGGTGTATGTGCATTTCTGATCCCTTCCTGCATTCTTACCCCATAGTTTTCTTTTTCCATCTTTTGTAGGAATGGACGGTTACTAGAAAACTGAAGAGAGAAAAAAAAAAAACTATAACATATTATTCATTTTTAAATAATATAAAATACGTAAAAATATCATTTGGCTTATGTTAGTTTGAATTATATTTTACTTTGTCAGGCTATCCGTGATTAATTTTTAATAGAATATTTTACCTATATATCATGCAAAGTAAGTAATGTGTATTAGTGTTCTTTAGCGTGTCTTATGCACTACACATTTACGAGATGAATATGAAAAATATAATATTGGTTCTTACATTCCGAACATCTAAAAGATTGTAGTCAGATAATTTCAGGTCACATAGGTCCAGCATAATAACATTACTTAAGAACTATTGCTTTCAAATATCTGTAAGTTTGAATGAAATAAGATCGGTATGTTCATTGTGTGAGATTGAGATCATGCTGCACCAAACCATGCTCGTTCACCCGCACATTCACCTTGCTCTTTTAAGTGTTTTCTTTTTTTTTTTTTTTTTCCCCCTCAGTATAGTTATTAATTATGTAATTAATTCTATACATTTTAGTTAAGGGGCAGGTATATCATTTATATTCCTATTATTGGCCCCACAGAGCAGGGAAGTCATGCTTTTATTCATCATACACATGCTCGATTCAGAGTTCAATTCAAGTTCAGCCATTGATACTCATCATGAAACATTGCCTTGTAGGATGGGAAAAAGGCAAGGTAGCTGATATCTTGTATTTATCAAATATGTAATATATTTCATAATATTATTAATATATGCTATTAAATGGTGTAGGCTAATAAATTGCATACAATACATTTTTAAACAGTGAGCTCGTGTTTGTCTTTTTCTATTAAATAGAATCTTTAGATAAATGCATTCAACATAAAATATGACATAATATTACATAAAATACAGAAAATACAGATTTTTAAAGATGATGCTGAATTAAACATATCAGGATGAACATAATGCTAACTCTACCAGGAATATACAAACAAAAAGTTTCCTTAAATTTTATTATTTAAATGTCTGGTATTACGGAGTCTTTCCATCCAGAGCTGATCTGGATTTATCTCACAATATAGAGCTAATTCTGTCCTGTATGTGAAAACTAGAGGTGGCTGTTCACAGAATCTTAATCTCCAGAGTCCCCAATCCCTCCTGGGTCTTATGTCCAAATTAAACGGCATCACTTCCTCTCCCTCGCTGTCCCCTGCAGCTCCCGAGGTGAATGGTGTGGCTGAGCCCAGTGTGGCAAAACGTCTGAAAGGAACTCCTGAGCGCATTGAGCTGGAGAACTACCGGCTGTCCATGCAGAGAGAGGAGGAGCTAGAGGAGGTGCCAGAGGAGACGCTGGCGGAGCACAACCTCAGCAGCGTGCTGGATAAAGGCACGGACGTGGACGAGGGCTCCAGGTGAGTGCTGAGGGCTTCAATTTTTTTTTTTTCACAGCTTCAGGAAGCTAGTGAAAGACTTTCTCACAAAATAGATAATAATAACTGCATTCTTGTATTGATCTTAATAATATCTATTTAGTTAACATTGTTTATTTAATTAGTTT